CATAAAAATATCTTATACACCTACAAGAATCACATAAAAATACTTTATACACCTTTAGATTTATTTCTGATATTCTAATATTGGCCTTTGGCAATCATTATTGTTAATTCCATACCAAAAAGTGTAAAACTCACCTCGTTCTTCAATAATCGTAAAGATCGATAAATTAGGAGATTTTTTTTAATTTTTTAAAAATTTAGAGTGGTGGGAATTTTTTTGCTTACATGTAACTCTAAAAACTCACAGGCCCTGTAAATGTCAAAAAATTGCCATAAGATCTTTGTAGGATCTTTTTTACTGCTTTTTTAATTATTTTTTTTTTAAATCTGTATACCTTTGTGATATTCATGAATAAGGTGTCATTTTATAGGTTTTATTAATATACGCAATGCTATTTATTAGGTAACAAGCAGACTTTAGAAGTGATTCCAAAGCAGAAAGGTATCGATGTACGCAAAGAACTCCTAAAGTTTCATCATACTTGGTATTCTGCTAATATTATGACCTTCGTTGTGGTTGGAAAGGGTAAGTTTTTTTATTTCAGATATTTTTATGATTATTCAACAAAAAACTATGATTTTTTTGTTAAAATTTTTAGTAGATTTTTTTTTGGCACTTGATTATTAGAAAATTTGTCTGTGTGTTTTTGTGCGCTAATCTCAGAAACGTCTTAATTTTTTGTATTCTGTTTTTACTAATCTATTGAATTAAACGTAATTTAAAATTTAGTGTATGTTTGTGTTTGTTTTTTTTTAAATGTAACCGGACATATTTAATTGCTTTTTTGTAAGTTAATAGCTTGAAATAGTCCTTATGTAGGTGTTCTATTCTTATTTGCTGAAAACTTAAGTCATAAAATGACCTTATATGAACATTTTCTTCTGAATCTTTACTAAGGGAGATTTATTTAAGACTCTGAGTGGTACATAAGCAAGTTAATTCCCTTACCCTTGTAGAAAGTCTCGATGAGTTAGAAGCGATGATTGTGCCTCTATTCTCCGCCATCGAAGACCGCGATGTGACTCCCCCCTCGTGGCCGGAGCACCCCTACCCCCCCGCGCGCTGCCGCAAGCGAGCATACTGCCTACCCATTAAGGACCTCAGGAGCCTCTCAATAGAGTTCCCCATACCTGATTATCTTAAACATTATAAAAGTGGGGTAAGACAACTTTCTATACTATTATAATAAAGCGTAAACACATTTCTTTGTTGCCTAAGATGTCAGCAATTACACCATATTTTTGAATAATTATTTCTCTAATAAAAAGCCCTACACTTACGTCACGCTTTAGGCTATACATTTTCACGCCATTAAACTTTGGGGGTAAATACTTTGGATAAAAATCCTAATGTAGAAAGAGACCATAAGTTACTGCCAACATAAAGAAGCAAGATTGCTAAGTTTTGTCATGTCATTTTGAAATTTGCAATTGAATTTGACACATGTAAACAATAAAATAAAATATTCATAATTTTATGCGGATGAGGCCGCACGGGAACAGCTAGTATTATATAAAAACTTGAATACGTAATTTATTAATGCAATAGTATATAAGTTTGTCAGTTTGTCTGTCAGTTTGTGTTCGATAATCTCAGAAATGGTTTAACTTATTCGATTGCAGTTTTAAGTAATCTATTGTTAACTTCACTTAATGTTTAATTATTTTTATCTCAGTGTTTTAATAATAAAGTTATGGGTCATTTTGTAGTTACCAAGTTAAGTTGACCTAAGTCGTCTTTCAATGATAATGTAAGACAGGTCCAGATTATATTGGATATGTGTTTATTTGTATTTGAACAGCCAAGTTACTACTTGTCTCACCTGCTGGGGCATGAGGGTCCCGGCAGTCTGCTCGCCGCGCTAAAGAACAAAGGTTGGGTAGACAGGTGAGAACTTTTGTTTAATAGGGGTTTTTAATAAAAAAAAAACATACAGACGAATTGAGTACCTCCTTTTTTGGAAAGTCTGTCAAAAAGATTAAAGAACGGGTGACCAAATGTTAATGGCAGCGGTTTTTTCGCTGTTTTGGCGAATTTTAATAAAGACTTGTAAAATAACATTGGTCTATGAAACTATTAAACGTGTCGTGACACAAAAATGTTTTTCAAGGTGGTAATTAAACTATTTCGTAATATAAATGCGTTTTGTAAAAAATTGACTTTTGCAGTTACCTAAGTTTACGTAAGGGCCTTTATTTTTTTTTGAGATTTTGCAAAACAGTCGATGTTAGTAATGTTTTCTGGTGTCGGTTAATCTTTAAATTATACCAGTTTTATGCCAACGTTGATTATTCTACTGGCATTACGTAAATTAACAGTGGTAGTGCCCGCTTTAACACCTTAGCACGAATAGGCCGGCACGCCCTCAGTAATACCACGACCACACAAGACAGGCATGAAATGGAAGCAATTCCGTGTTTCATCTGATGAGTGCGGTGCCGGAGGCCTAATTTTAGTACCTTTCTCTTTACCACCCTTTTCTCACAAGAAGAGGATGGGAAGAGGAAGTGAATTTGACGGTGGAGGATAAGCATAGGAAGGGGAAATATCCTCTTTATGTGCGTCTCCTCGTCCGTCGGATAAGGGTAGGCAACGCATCTACAATTGCGGATGTCTATGGGCAGCGGTCGCTTCGCCGTTTTGGCGGATTGAGGTGGCCGCTTGCTCGTTTGCCACCTTATGTTATATAAAAAAAAATCTGTAGAAATTATGTCGTATGAGTTGTCAGTACATAGCACTTGGTCAATACAGTTGGACAGTGGTGGACCTGGCATGAACTGGCATGGCTATGTGTGCACTGGTGTCTGTTAATTTACATTATGCCAGTATCCCAGTGTTAAAATTACGATACCGGCTTACTGTACTGGCATACAATGGTGATTGTAGTTTGGAGGGCGGAGCACGGACAGGGGCGCGAGGGTTCGGCTTCTTCGGAGTTCACGTCGACCTCACAGAAGACGGCCTCGATCATATTGACGATATCGTTAATATGGTATTTCAGGTATGTATAGGTTTTACCGCGACTTTGTCCGCGAAATTTAAAAAAAAGGAGCAAAAAAATTTTTTTAGTAGGCTTTTTTTGACTTTTAGTGAGATTCTGGTTATTGGTAGACAAACTTTGTCGTGGTTTATTATTTTTTTAATTCTGAGCGTTTGAAGTCGCAGGAAAAAAGCAATTTTTTGTATTTTCTCTACTATGTATCTTAAATATTAGAAAAAATGTTGTACTTTGCTATATGGTATTTTGAAATGTGTAAATTTTTGTTTGAAATAAAAAAATTGTTGATTTTTTTTATTAATCGAATGATTACTAATTTTCATATTAATTAAAGTAATAATTAAAAAAATATTGTTCCAGAAAAAAGTTATTTTTTTTTTACATTTTTTAAGTCCAAAGATCAACGATTTAGGAACGCATAAGGGGGTAAAAGATTTTTTCAATTTTTTCAATTTTTTTCTAGTATATCTCAATGCTACGTAAAGTGGGACCCCAGCGTTGGGTTTGGGATGAGCAGAGAGAGACATTATCTACGGATTTCACTTACAGAGATGTGCAGGAGCCGAGATCTTTTGTTATCAAACACGTGCACTTATTACAGGTGATTTTTGACTTACTATGATTTTACTCGTGACTTTGTTTGCGTGTAGTTAAAAAGTATAGCCTATGTTACTCACTGATAAAGTAGCTTTTTAATGGTGAAAGAATTTTTTAAATCGGTTCATTAGTTTTTGAGTTATTTCAATACATATAAAAATACAAATGTTTCCACTTTTCTGTCTTGCTCACTCTTATATGATATGATAGAGATATTGTATAGTATGTTTTTTGTTGATTTTTCTTTGTAGTTCTTATCTGTATTAGAGATAGTTGTCCCCTTAAAAAAGGGAAGATATTTAAATAAGGGGGAGTTTTTTTATGTATTGATTTTTTCTTTCAGAGTATTTTCGTCAAATAATTGAGTGTCTATTTTGATTTTTTTCGTAATATTTTCAAGATAAAAAATCTTGTCTATAGATATGTCATCTATAGATAAAAAGAATACAAAAGTGGTCACAAACGTTTCCAGAGGTTTTTTGTTGGTGTAACTTTTCTTCAGTAGATTTTTTTAGACACTCCATCTATAGATTATATATCTACATGCAGGAGTTTCCGATGGAGGATGTCCTAAGTGCATACTACCTACTGACAGAGTGGAAACCAGAGCTGATCGAGGAGTTGCAGTCACGACTGGTTCCTAACAACGTTAGGATAGGAATTGTCGCTAAGTTAGTTTTCCATATTAATCTATACTATTATAATAAAGCGTAAACACACACTTCTTTGTTGCCTAAGATGTCAGCAATCACAGCATGTTTTTTTAATAATCCCTTCTTTAATAAAAATCCCTATACTTACGACTTTAGGCTATATATTTCCACGTTATTAAACTTAAGGAGTAAATATTTTGGATAAAAACCCTAATGTGGGAAAGAGACCATAATTTGCCGCCAACATCATGGAAACAAAATTGCCATACTTTGTCATGTCATTTTGACATTTGCAATTGATAATTTGACAAATGTAAACAATAAAATAAATTTTTCATAATTTCATGCGGATGAAGTCACAGGGGAACAGCTAGTTTTATGATATAAATAATGTTTTTTTGACTGTTTTTAGACGTTTTGCGGATAAATGTACTCAAATAGAACCTTGGTATGGCACTAAATATCTACAAGAGGATATAGAAGAAAGCAAAATAAGGGTAAGTTTAAATTTACTAGCTTTTGCACCCGACTCTGTCTGCAATTTAAAAAATAAAAGTAGTCTATGTCTTCTCCCAGTTGTTCTACATTTGAAATATTCTTATTCTTATTATAAAGATATTCTTATTAGTAAATTTAGACGCGACATTGTGACGTCATAGTTCTCAAATAAACTATAAACGCTTATAACAATTTGAAGTTTTTTTAAACTGAAATCAAGTATTATTGTTACAGTGTAAGATTTTTTTGATGAAATTTCGCTGCATTTTATATGTAAAGTGGGTATGGAATTTAATTCTTTGACTGTAAAATAAATGTTTCCAATAGGAATGGGAGGGGGCCACTGCAGGCCCGGAGTTACATCTGCCGCCCCCCAATGAGTTTTTGCCCGAACGTTTAGAATTGGAGACCTCGAGTGACCCTACCACGGACTCTATAGCTCCCATCATATTGAAGGTAAAAACTACTAATTTCTACCGAGGTACGTGTAAATATAGTTGGTAGTTTTTTAATAAAAAAAAATATCAAAATAATACAACAAAGATAATAAAATGCCTTTAAAATCCTATCAACAGGTATATTTGTAAAAACTGTTATTTATACGAGAATAATTAATTTTTCAGGTTAAAAAGTATCCTATGACATACTCCAGAGAGTAATTTATCTCTGTGTCAAATTTCATCCAAATCCATTCAATCGTTGCAGAGTTATTTGGTAACAAACATACTAGTTTCCATACAAATTCTACAAAAAAAAACTAGAATCTAAAACAGTATGTACATTTGTAAATTTCACTCGGAAACAGTATATAAATTTTCCCATTTCGTTAATAGAATCATGAAAATGTATGTAAAAATGTATGAAAACCCATACAAATATGTTTTCAGGACACGCCCCTCATGAGGCTATGGTTCAAGAGAGACAATGAATTCAAGTTGCCCAAAGCTTACCTCACTTTAGACATGTTCAGGTAATTGTTTGTCTGTGTGTCTGTGTGTTTGTGTGTTTGTGTGTTTGTGTGCGGTAATCTCTGAATTAATACAACCAATTTAAATGCGGTTTTCACTAATCTATACATTTATGCTTCTTTTTTTGATCTTACTAATATTATAAATGCGAAAGTTTAGATGGATGGATGTTTGTTAGAGTTTGTAGTCAAAACTGCTTAACGGATTTCCATAAGATTTGGTATAGATGTAGAGAATAGTCTGGAAGAACACATAGGCTACTTATTTTTTTTAATTCCACGCGGACTGTCGCGGGCGAAAGCTAGTTTTCAATAAATAAAAAAAATACGTCAAATAGGTCGATTGAGATTTTTTCACCTCATATAATCAAGTGAATTTAGATATTCAGGCTAATAGAGATGTATGGAAGGGTAATTATGGTACTTACTGTGGATTATTCCCAACCGTCACCCCGCCGTCCCCACGTGGGAATAAAAAGTTTTATCCGTCCCGCCGTTCAGTCCCACTATCACCAATAAGGTAACAGATGGAAGCGTTTAAGTTGCAACCGTCCCCTCGTCTTAAAAGGTGGGACGGATGAAACTTTTTATTCTCACGAGGGGACAGAGCGGGGTGTCGGTTGAGAATAATCTGTTACTGTGTATATACAGTGGTAGAGCCCGCTTTAACATCTTGGAACTGCAGGGCTCGCCAGCAATAACACGACCACACAGAAGACAGGCGTGAAGTGAAAGCAATTCCGCGTACATTCTGCTGAGTGTGGTGCCGGAGGCCTCATTTTACTCCCTTTCCCATTCCACCCTTTTCTTATAGGAAAGGATGGGAAGGAAAAGTGGATTTGACGGTGGTAACGTATAGGAAGGGGAAATGTCCTCTTTATGTGCGTCTCCTCCGTCAATAAAGGGTAGGCAGCGCTGCAATTGCGGATGTTTGTGCAGCGGTCGCTTTCCATTTTGGTAGATTGAGGCCGTTTGCTCGTTTGCCAATTTATGTTATCAAAAAAAAGTGTAGTGGTATCAGGGTATTATTTCCCTGTCAGTCCCCTGTCGTACGCGGAGCCGGAGAGCTGCGCGCTGCTGTCGGTGTGGGTGCTGCTGGTGCGGGACGGGCTGCAGGAGTACGCGTATGCTGCAGACCTGGCGGGTCTCCGGTGGAACGTCACCATCTCCAAGCAAGCTATCAATGTAAGATCTGGTTGGGCCCAGAACAAAACAGCGAAAGAATCCAATGTTGCCATTTAGGGAAATTCAGTGCAGAGTTCCGGAGATCCCGGGACCCTCAAATCTCACCTGATTGGGGTTTTTATAAGTAGAAATCTCACATAACCCTGTCTTTTATGTCATGTTGTCAGATATAAAATAACAGTATCTTTCGAAGATATCCCCCCCCCATACCAAAAAAGACCAGGGCTAGATTTTTAAATACAATAATGAAACGGGTAGTAAATTGAACATACATTAAGGGGAAAAAATTGATTTTTTTTTCAAAATAAACTATTGTGTAAGGAGAAAAGACAGGTGTATAAGCATCATCATGCATTTAAAGGTTAATCTGTGGAGTTCCAGAAACCTTTATTACCAATCCAACTTAACTGTTTTAGACAGTTTTTTGCACTTTTAATTTAGTGTTATACGCAACACAATGAAAATTATGATTATTTAATATTTTAAAATTCATAAATTCTTTTAAAAAAGGTAGTGGGTTCCTTTGCCCTTGCGATGCCCTTAACTTGAGAGGTTAAAGTAACGTTGACGGATTGTAAAATCAATCTTGAGGGATTGTAAATTTGATATTTTCTGACTGTATAAATAAATTGTGACGGACTGTAAAATTTGTAAAATGTAGACTGTAAAATGATGGCGGATTGTAAAATTTATGTTGACGAACTTTAAAATTTACTTTGACGCACTGAAAAATTGGTGTTTACGAACTGTAAAATTAATAACTCATTGTAAAATTAATGTTGACGAACTGTAAAATTTACTTTGACGCACTGTAAAATTAATGACTGATTGTAAAATTATTGTTTATGAACTGTAAAATTAATGACTGATGTAAAATTGATATTGACTTATTGTAAAATATCCCTCAACTTGTGCATACTATGCCAGTAGCTGGCAAGCCAGTGTTCCTGCACGTGTATCCTCTTACAGATAGAAGTGGAAGGCTACGATGACAAGCAACACGTGTTGTTGGACAAAATTGTGGAGTATGTGACTAACTTCAAGACGGACCATAAAAGGTTTAAAATAATGAAGGAAAACCATATAAGAGCTATCAAAAACTTCGATGCGGAACAACCTTATCAGGTACGTACTCAGAGACGGTCCCTAAGGGTGTCTTTTGTTAATTGATGTAATTTAAAGATATGTTTGTGATTGATGGTTATTTTTTTTTGTTAAATTATTTTTTATCTGACAGATAAGGGTAATATTTTGCTCGTGTATGTTTTTAAAAATGTAATACCCTATTGATTTATTCTAACAGGTGAATTATTTCAAATTTATTTCTTGCCGGAGCCCTAATTTTGTCCCTTTCCCTTTCAAATTTTGAAAAGGAATGATGGGAAAGGTACATTGATATGGTGGAGGAGATGCATAAGAAGGGGGAAAATTCTATTTAAGTGCGTCTTTGCATGCCAGTTACTTCGCCATTTAGGCGAATTCAAGTGTCCTCTCGTTTGATATCTTATGATATAAAACTGCATCATCATCCACTTGCCCTTATCCCTTATGTAGGGTCGGCACAGTATGTGCTGCTCCATACATCTCTATCAGCCATATCTGAATCCACTCCTTTCTTAAGCATATCCTCTTTCACACAATCCATACTTTCTTCGGTCTTCCTCTTCCTTTGTAGCCATCCACATTCAATCTCAACACTTTCTGGTTTATGTCCCCATCATTTCGTCGCATAATATGTCCATACCACGCTAACCTTTTGCTTCTCAATTTCTCCACCACTGGCGATACTTTCTAACTTTCTCTCATCATCACCAGCTCACTATACGTCCCCACCGAGGGGCTCGGAGCCTACCCTAAGTTAGTGACTAGGCCATAGTCAACCTGCACTGCGGGTTGACTTCACACATATCTTTGAATTTCTTCCCCGATATGTGCATCACGATGATTACCTTCACCGTAAGAACGTCGGGTAAATTAACTTTCCCTAATATACATATATAAAAACTGCATATTGTATAAATATATATGTTTAACAGCACGCAGTATACCAACAATCTTTATGTCTGACTGACGTGGTGTGGACTCGCTGCGAACTGCTCGCCGCTGCTGAAGGTGAAATAACTCAGTTATACGTTTTTAAAACTAAATAACCCTAAATAAAAAAAAAGCTTGGATAAAAAGCTTGTGAGTCCGCGTGGAATTAAAAAAACAACAAAAAGAAATATATACATTTATATATTTATATTTCTTTTTGTTAATATTAGTGTGTAAGAGTGTGTCATGTTGTCAGAAATGACACCGGAGAAGTTGGACACGTTCGTGGGGCGCGTGCTGAGGAAGATGCACGTGGAGGCTCTCATGGTGGGGAACATCACGCGGGAGCGGGCACTCAGCATGGCTGACAATATTGAGAATAAGTAAGTATATGTACATTTTAAAACTAGTAAAATATCGTGCGAACTCTATATAACGATGGACTCCATATAACGTCACACTTTATAAAGTGGGGCTTCATATAACAATCATTAATCAATCTCTACAATGTCGAGCTAAATCTTTATCATTTATATCATATACCTCCTTATAACATCACTATTAAACCGTAGAACTACATTAATTGTCGAGCTTCATATTACGTCATCTTTTGTAACGTCAAACTTCATAGAATGTTACTATTTATAAAGTCGGATTCCATATAACGTCATCCTATATAAAGTTAACCTTCATATTGTAACCATCCTCTTTTTCTCTTCAACTCTCTACTCCATAAAAATAAGCCGTTTGATCAGAAAATATAAATTTTATGCCTTTCCAAA